TAGAATCCGAGGCTGATTGACTGGCAAATTGCGGAGGCAGCCCCCAGAGCCTCTGCCCCCATGTCCAGGATCCACTGGCTGTGGGGTGGAAGGCAGAGGGAGTGGGTGCCCCAGCTCCCACCGGCTGCCCTGCCCTGGGCAGTCGTCAGTGTCCCGGCAGCAGCGGGCAAGTCCGGTGGCCCAGCGTGGTGAAGGTGTGCAGGCGGGTGTGCACCGGCCTCACAAGGAACGCTCTGGCAGGGGCTGCGCTGCTCTCAGGGGTTGTTGTTCTGGTTGTCCTCCTTGTATGCGCCTCTGCTTTTTGCCAGCGTTATGGTCTCCTGGGTGTCATGATGGTGCCTCACCCTTAGGGAGAGAAAGGGACGGTCGAGCTGTGAGCAGAAGCCCAGGCAGTGCCTCGGCCCGTGCAATGATGTGGCTGCCTGGGAGCATCCCGTTCCCTGGCATGAGCTGCCACTTGCACTGAGCCCCCGCAGCCCCGAGCCCCCACAGTCACGATCTGCCCGCGCTTCCCCTTCAAGAGCCCAAATGCCAGGTCGGTGCCCAGCAGACGGCAGCTCACCCGGCAGTCACCACCCGCCCTCCTCTGCTGCCATGATAGTGACCCCCTGAACCCCACCTGCAGTGTGTGCCAAGGGAGCCCAAAGCCCGAGTGTGCCAAAGGCTCAGGCAAGGGCTGGGGTCTCTCGTGCTGCCTCTGTACCAGTACTTACTTTTCTCTGTTGAAAACAATGAAGTCCCTCTGGAGCATCTCTAGGTGCTTTTGGAGATGGCAGGCCTTTCACAGTTGGATAGAGGAATAAAGAGATGGGGAATAAATTCACAGTTGGCACAGAAAGACATTACAAGGACAACTTCAAGGCAATATAGAGATATCTTTAGGTACAGAGCATCTTTAGTGCTGCAGTGGGGAGAATGGCATTAAGACTTCTCTACAAAACGGGTGCACCTACATGCTGACTTCCACTGATGGGAAGATGCGGAAGAGTCTTGGGAATAAAGTTGGTCACAAGGGAAAAGATGGTCTGTTTACACAGGTTGCCATGGTCTTGCTAGATGGCAATCAGCCTTTTTGGAAAATTAGAGACTTCCTTGACCACGTGCTTGTACCTGTCTGCTCTCACCTGGGAGGAACTGCTTTTGCTGCTGTCTTTCTCCTTCTTGGCCAAGCGCTTTTTTTTCTTGTGAAGAGGTTTGGATTCTAGAATCATTTCTTCCAGTTCAAAGGTTGGGTCACAGTTCAGTCTGCCTTTCTAGAGGGGGGAGAGAGGTGGCCTTAAGTGATCAGAGCCTGTCTTGAAGAATGTCTCATAAATTGGACTGCATCTAGGAGCTGAATTTTATAAAAAATAAACCAATTACAAGGGCACACATAGCCAGAACATCTGCTGTACTTCTTACATGTTTCATCAGTTCCCTCAGCCATTGTCAAGGTGAGACAATGGCTCTTTTTGTGCTCACTGCTCTTACTCAGCTCTTTGGCTGCTTCGATGAGACGGTGAGGATGGTGCTGGGGGGAGCACAGCAGCCTGCAAAACTGGTTTTAAAGCAATACACGTACACCCACCACAGAGAAAACCAGCAACAGAGGGGAAAATACATAAAATTAGGAAATATTCATAGCTTAGCCCAACTTTTTGTTTGGCTGAAAAATAGAGTAATACTGCACACAACAGTCCTTGGATTATTTTCTGTAAGGATTATGTTACTTCTGTGCTGTTTTAATCCAATTAAAAAAGAATCAGAAAGACTAATCTACTATATTTGTTATTTTACTATGAACAATGGGCTTGTTAGGGAGAGTCATTACAGGAAGAAACAATTATCATAAAATGGCTGGTGATCTCCAGGCCACTAATGAGCCCATGTCTGTTCACTGGCTGTGTGCACGCTGCTGGGAAGGGCGGTTCAGAGCAGGACCGCTCATGAGCACTGTCAGTGTGGTTCATCGGGTGTGCCACGGACAGTCCGGAATGCCTAAGAGTAGTTCTGCATCCAGAAATTCTGGGAATATTACAAACAGAGCAGATCAATTTTGGGGCCCCCACATTTTGTAGTCATCCCCCATTACTCTTTATGACACCCACAGGAAAGTGAAAATGTTGCCCTTTTCTCCCTTTTCCCGTCCCTTATGACATCTGACGTTCTTGCGGAAAATCGTAAGAATGTCCCCGGGCGCGGGGGCGAGGGCCCGCAGCAGCGTGTCACGCTGGCGCACGCTGAGAGCCTTTCAAAATCAAACTGCCTGACCGTAGGAATGAATTCCGGCATTATCCTTTTCTGGAGAACAGCATCCCAGTTCACGTCTGACAGATACGGAAAGTCCTGGATATCCTTCAGCTGAGAAAAACGCTTCTCGGGGTTCGGCTCAAGCAACTGCAGGGAGAGTTAAACAGCGGAGGTGAGACAGCGAGAGCGCGGGATCAGAGGTCCGGTACGTACAGATGTGCCCGTGGCAGAGCTACACCAGGTCACATCTGGCCAGGGGAATGACCGCCGGAGTTCCGAGTGCCCATCTGTCCGTGTCTGCTTTTTGAGAAGGAGCTGGTTTCGCCCACGGCGGGTGGGACTGGCAGAGGGAGCGGGAATGGCCGTGGCTGCGGTGACAGCGGCCCAGGGACAGAGCTCCGGGGCGGCTTTGCCTGTCGCTGGTTAACGGGGGCAAGCGCGAGGCCGAGGCAGGAGCCCCGATGGGCCGGACCGCAGGGTCGGCCGTGCCGCTCCCCGTGACAGAGCAGCTGCTGGGGACCCCGCGGCCCCTGTCTCCATCGCTGGGACCCAGGGAGGTTCCGCGGGGACACCCCGCTGAGCGCAGCACCGCGGTGCAGCGCTCGGGCCAGCTGCCTCACTCCCGCCTCGCTCCTGCCTTCTAGCCGCCATCCTGCTGTCGGACGGCCCGGGACCTGCGGCACTGGCGACGCTCCGAGTCAGGGCG